TATATATATATATATATATATATTAGGATCTCCGTTAATTTGGCAATTTTTAAAATTTTTATGAGACCTCCTCTAACTTCTTAGTCCCCCCTCTAACTTTTTAGTCCCTTTAACTTTTTAATATATATATATAAATTTAATTAAAGTTTAAATTTATAAAAGGATGAAATATATTCGTTCAATGTTTTATTGTACGACACTTTTCGATTATTTAAATATAATACGGATTGAGAACGTGCAAAACATTAAACAATCGAATCGAGGAATCAAGTAATTAGCATAACGAAAGGCTTCGTGATAAATCAATCTTTTAATAAAAATATAATTTGTAATTTAAAGTATTTGTCTATATTTTAATATTCCGCGTATATATATTATATAGTACATAAAAATATTTTGACAACCGTCTATAATCGAAAAAACACTTTTCGGTACATTTGAAATTGGTTATTAATTGGTTTATTTCAAAACCTATGGAGCGAACTATAATCATTTTGATCTCATTTGAAAGATAATTTAATTCCGAACAAAAAAAAGTATGCGGTTTTTAACAAAAAGTACCGAAACAAATGTTGTAGAGAATCAAATTATCTTTCAAGTGAGATCAAAATGATTGTAATTCGCTCCATAGGTTTTGAAATAACCGTCGATAGCCGAAAAAACACTTTTCGGTACATTTGAAATTGGTTATTAACTGGTTTAAAATGAAATAATTGAAATAAAAAAAAAAAATAAAAATAAATGAAACAGATCATTGCAGACGTAAACGTTTGCAAAGATATACGAGAGCATACTTTTTTTAAGATGCTAGCCGGAAATCATAATTGATATTTGCTTCATACATCTTCGCTTACTTATTTGACATCTAGACATTGCAGATGACAGCATCTGTTAGTCGAGGCTGTGATTCAAATAAATGTCGTAATTCAAATTGACACGATACGGGCGGAAAGCAATGGATAAGAAAAAGAACGCGATGAGCATGTTAATCATAATACAAGATATTCCTGCCGCATTTTACTTTATTCATGATCTTTTTGACCAATAAGAAATTAAATTTTTTTTAATAAAGAATCGTAGAATATCAAGAATAAGAAGCATTAATGATTTTTAAATTAACCGATTGAAAATGAAAAGCCTTTTGCAATTTACAAAGATCTAATCTTATTAGAAAAATCTATTATTCTAATCTTATCATTTTCGTCCTCTAATTTTTAGTAGAATTTATTTTAATAGGATTCCAACTAAAACAATATTTTTTATCTTATATATTAACAATTTTTCAACAAGGCTAATATCAACTTTTTGCCAAGAAAAATTTGACTTTTAATTTCATTGATCGAGAATGAAATAAGACGCGAAACTTGGCTCACCTCATATCGTTTGGGCAACTCGCTGTATCTTCACTTATAGGCATACGTACGACGATTCTAAAGTGCATTCGTGAGAATAGTCAGACATCTGTCAACGATAAACGTTGTCGCAACGTGGAAAAACCGAATCATCCTCCCCCGCTGCGATGCAACGATCATCCTTGCGCCGCCAGGTATCTACATCGATATATTTTCTTTCTATAGTGATTCTTCAATAGATCTTTTGATCATTATCGTGCCTTCTTTCAGTTTTCCAAATTTTTTAATACATTCAAGTTCGATTTTTTTATAATATCTAATTGTTAAAAAATCGAAAACCTGCGATCTTTAATTATATCTTTGCTAAGAAAAGATTGACTTCAAATATATCAAGGAATTCTTGGTCGAACGAAAATGCGATAATCCTATATATTTAGAATTTAATTTATTCAAACAAGTTTGAATCTCGTACTCGACGAAGTGGAAATGTTATCAGATGGCGAGCCGAGCAGTGGAGCCAATGTTCGGTCACTTGTGGAGTCGGCATCAGAACGCGAAAACTCGAATGCATTCAGGAGCTGAACGCAAGATTGACAATGCGCGTTGCTGCCGGTGCGTGCATTCAACCGCCAGATCTGAGCACCACGGAAGCTTGCAGTCTGCCAGCCTGTCCCAACGCAGGCCCAGAATTGAGGCATATGCCCTCACAACACGACGCACCCAGGTGGGATGTGGGCGTTTGGAGTCCGGTGAGTCATTAATCTGTTAAATGCTTTTATTATTGAACGGCTACTTTTAGCGGTTTAGAAAGTAGGTCAGAAAATTATTAGGGATTAAAAATTAGAAATCTCTCCAAATGCCATAAAATATAAGAGATAGTCTTAATAATTATTGTTGTATCTTTTGCGCATTAAAAGTCGGAAACAATTTATGCGGATTGTATATTGTAATATGATGTATGTGTATGTAATTATATTATACGTAATTCTTAATATTTATTATGTGTGTAACACGCGACACACAAGATTAGTTAGAAAGAAATAAAAGCTGTGAGCTCAAAAATTATCAATTTAAACAAATAATAGCGTAATAATAAAATTCATTATAAATTTATTATATTGTTATAAAATTCAAGTACAAATTTTTTATTATTAATTTTATGCTAACGTTTTTTTTTGTTTTTTACAATTTTCTAACGTCTAAAATAAATGACATTGATGAGACTCTTCGCTTTACATTGTCGGAATTGATTTCAATTCAGCGATATCTTCCGCCAATCGAGTCTCCTATTTGTCACATAATTGCACTTTTTAGTGTTCGACGACATGCGGTCGTGGAATCCGAAATCGAACGGTGACTTGCATAACGTCCGGAGAATCGTGTTCGTTAGCCAATAAGCCGGAATCCCAAAAAGCGTGCGAGATTACGGCTTGTAACGCAGCAACGGACGTGGGACATCATGCACCCTGGCTGTACTCAGAATGGTCTTCTAAAGTATAAAATGCATACATTAATTAATGAATTAATTTTTCTCAATTTTTCATAAGCAAATAAATATTAAATTAAAAATAGAATACTTTTGTTCAAGAATTATGGATTTTTCATGCATTGATTTTTAAGAACATTTCATATATTCATATTCGATATATATTTTAAATATATAATCTAGTATTTTTGATGACAACTGGGATAAAAATATATATATATTTCAAACATTATTGGATTTTATTTAATATTTCTTAATTTTAAAATAAAAATAAAATATATACATATACACTTATTCGGGATATGCAGCCTAGCATTTGTCGCTGTTGTAGTGCTCCTCGGAATGTGAAAATGGTCTGAAAATCAGACGAGTGGCATGCGCTGACGGTAGCGAATTATTCTGCAATCCCAAAGAGAGACCGGACACGGAGATGCATTGTTTCGAACGGGGAACGAACTGCGATCGAGCCAAGTGGTTCACCGGTCCATGGACTTCCGTTAGTACAAGATGACTCAGAAAATAAAACGCTCGCTCCGTGGCAACACGTAATGCTAAAGTGATCACCGTAGATGACATTAATTTTTTAAATGAATCAAATTTTACTACCAAAATGCACGTTTTTAATTATATAAATAGACAATGTTGCACAATTTTTACCTTATAATCTTATTCTTCTAGATGATTTAACATAAGAATAAAATTACAATAATTTTTTTTTCTTTTCTTAATAAAAAGTTCTTTTTTATCCTTTTTCTGATTATTATACAATATAATTTTATAATCACTAGCAATGTAATCTCTTACATTAATTTCTTATGCTTTTAGTGTTCTGTTTCGTGCGGTGTCGGTATGCAACATCGAGATATCGCTTGCATAGCAAAAGCGAATGATGAGTTTGTCGTACTATCCGCGAAAAATTGCAGTGATCCGAAGCCAGTGACTAAACAAGTCTGCAGAATGTCGACATGTTCGCCGGAATGGTTCACCTCGAATTGGTCGACGGTAAAATGCGTATTAATTATATCGAGAGAATCTTTTGTCATAAAATTTTTTTTTTTTTTTTTTTTAGATTTTGTCAGTTTACATTTAAGAAGCGTGTTCGATGCAATCTTTGTGTCTTCTCTATAGTGTTCTGCAACATGCGGAATCGGAGTGCAAACACGGCTTGTACGATGCATCGTCGAGGGCATCAGTAGCACCAATTGTTCAGAAATCACGAAACCAACCACAGAGCAACGATGTAACACGGAGCCGTGTAAGAAGGATGTGCCAGTAGTAAGCAAACCACCGAAAAGTAAGAAAACTTACGCTATATCTTTCTAACTTCAATTCTTCCTAATTTTAGCAAATAAATTCGAGCAATTTTTTTAAAATGATAAATCAATAATAATAGTGCGATTTATTATTACATAAATAACAAATTTAAGATTTTCTTGATAGATATATTTTAATATTACATTTCAGAAATGCACGAACCGTCCGAGTGCGTTGACAAGTATCCGAATTGCGCTTTAGTAGTAAAGAACGGTTTGTGCCGAATCAAATATTACAAGCACTCGTGTTGCCAATGCCGCCAATAGCTGAGGCAGCAATTTTGCGTTCATTCACAATTTTATGAATGCGAAGTTAGTGTTCATTGATTAAAATATAGATATCATGTCACACAGGCAATTCCTGCCAAGCGTAAGACTGCTACAGAGAGATGATCACATATGTATAGTTTTATTTATAGTAAACGAATAACATAATTCTCATAGAACGGTAGAATTTCCTTTTCTTTTTTTTTTTTCAAAGGACGTTTCGATGAATTAGAAAGAATCGACGAATTCAGAATGCAGAGTTTATTTCTTCGTCTTAATCTTTCATTTTAATTCTACGAATTTTCGAGTCAATTTTTGGAGAAATATTGAAACTGTGTTCTGAATGAAGGACAAATAAATAAAATAATAATGAGATAAAAATATATATAGATATCAGAAAAAAACAAAAATATCCTACATTAAAAACGATAAGCTTCTATCTATTCGGATTAAAAATAGATTTTTTAATGATAGAAGTCCTCGAAAAACTAATCTTGATATTTCCGAGAATCTCAAACATAGTGAGAAAGTTCAGATTTTGTATTGCTTGATATTGTCAGGTTTTTGTGTGTGATAATATATTGCGATGTGTGATATGATATGTGCGTCCACCTGCAGATACGTGTACGGATCGTTTACATCACGTCGCGTGCATGTACGAGTCGATATCTGTGTTATCATCGCCGTGAACAGGAGATGCAGGGCCGTAATTTTATCGATTCGGACGAGCATTTATGCATACACAATATTGACCCTGGTGCTTTTATATGCAGTATCGCAAGCTTAATTTTTATGTGCTTTTTATCAAGCGACTCGTTTGCTGTATCCAAAGTGAAAGAATATGTGACAACCCCATTCTTGAAGACCCGAAGTATCTTGAAGATTTTCGTATAGAAAAACAAGAAGTCTCATATTTTCATCCCTATTTTAATGTCATAATATTTAACGGTAAATATATAGCTATTTCTACATTTTATTTATTGAATATTAAAAAATTCATATATAGTGCGTAAATCATATAGATTTTATTACATTTTGTATTAAACGTTGCGCTATAATTGTGGCTAGAAATTTCAATTCAATAAAAAATTTAATTTAATTTATTACTTAAATTTTAATTTAATTTATAAAATATGTATGCATTTTAGAGGCATTTGCCATATACTGCTTTATTTTAAAAATAGCATTATATATAAAGTAAAAGATATACAAAAATTATAGAACATACATATATAAAAAAAAGGATAAGTATACATGCTAAAAAATGTTACTTTCCTCTAAATATATCATTATTTTAATTTAATTTATCATGGCATCAGCACCAAAGAAAGTGTATACGATGCTTTTAATGCGTTTTTAATTTAGATCTGATATGTGCTTTGAGCGGTGTAGACTACGAAAACAGTCCGATTAAAAAGTAATAACATTTTTGAAGATGAACACGAAGAAGTCTCGAATATATCCAATTACGTCCCTGGATAACGAGCTTCTCTTTGCATGCACGTTTGCGCAAAACCTGTATGCTCATGGAAATCTCCGAAGCTGCTATATCCGCCTCTGCATCGATCGCGTAAAACAAGAAACGAGTTTCCAATGAGTCCGTATTCCGGAATCGACGTGAAACGATGTAAAAGCCGTTGTGTCGATTGTGTCGTTCGAGCGCACAGGTTTGCGTTATACAGGAAAAATATGTCGCGATAAAAAATCGGCGTTACTTGTTTCTGAAGAGAAACATTTTGTCACAGAAATATAATTGTCTTCTATGTTGAAATGTAAAAAATCATCAGACGACAATTTAATGTGGCAACATTACTGTGTCACGCTCGATATTCGAACAAACGAGCTTAATCCAGACGGAAAGAAATGTTCTTTTTTGTAAATAAGTTTTGAAGATACGTAGATTATTGTACATACGAATTGCGAAATAATGTAATGAAATACTAACGTCGCGATAAAATTACGAAAGCATTTCTTCTAACAAAGCGTAAATATTTGTTAATATTTTCCTGCATTCGTTGTAGCTTCGTGATTCAAACATTGATGTCTTATTAAGAATTAATATAATTTCTTTTTAGACATATTTTATGTTAATAACTGCTTTTATATATAAGTTAAAAAAGTGTTGCAAAAATTTTTAATTGATGTTTGATTTACGAAAATTGCATGGTAAGATATTCATTTTTCGAATTAAAAAATTTTGCGCGAAGCAAATTTTCTTTAATTGATACTTATATTTCTAAGGTTTGATCTCGAAGGAATTACGAATGTTAAAACTCTCGTTCTGCATACATCATTAGGTATCGAATAAATTCATTCGAGTAAGTTGATTGCATGATAATATATACAGTAATAGAAATATATGCTTGTATGTGCAGATTACATAAACTCGTTGATATATATATTGTATATTTCGCGACGTCGAAATGAAAATTAGAGTGATTCACTATGTATATCGTCAGCAAATTAATTCGACGTTAAACTCGTTTCTAATGCACCATTAGAAACAAGCTGTTAACACTATTAAATAGTATGAAGCAGTTTGGATTAATTAATCCAAATTGTATCGATTGAACCCTTTTACCATTTCTAAAGAATTATTCGAATGAATTCTGTATTGAATTGTATGCCTCATATCTTTTGTCTCGCTCAGATTCTCTATTTTTACAGCAATTACAAATTATTTACACAAAACTTTTATCTGTTCCTTTTTCAATTATTAATTTCACATCGATTTATTTACTTTAGTTACATCAGGTAAGTACTTTTCACAATTTTTATCTTCTTTTTCTGATGGCTTGTTTAATATATTTATTAACATTTTTCAAATTACGTACGTTGACATTTACGTTAACTTGTTATAGAATTTCTGTAACAAATGTGTGGGATTTATGTTTATATATATTCTATTCGAATTAATATGTATATCTATAAATTTAAAAAGATACAAACATTTTTATTGATTTTTAAATTAAAACATTTGTTTCATATACAATAGGTTTCGTTATTCACGTTTCATTAATTTGTTATTATTTACATTTCATTAATTTTATCGTAAGATAGTATATTTTTATTGTTTAAAAAATGTTATATAGATGCTTTTACTCATTGTTACAATTTCCATCTTCTATACGCGGAGTTCTTAAGATTCTATATAAAATTCCTATATTTGATTGTTATCATTCTGTTTGAAATTTAAAGTTTAACTCTCTCTCTCTCTCTCTCTCTCTCTCTCTCTCTCTCTGAGGTTTCAATTTCAAAGACGAAAACTTGCTCAATTAAATATTAATTACAACATGTTTGCGTTTTTATCAAATAATCGGAATAAATGATATCTCACTTGCGACATAACTATATTATAATATAAATATTTACAGTTTCTTACGGACATCATCAAATAATGCAATTTTACATGTAAAACGGTAGATCATGGGAGATGCTTTGGAGAAATGCTTTAACGCGTATGTGTAAATGCGGTGACGGTCTATTATCAATTGTGACGGTAATTGTTTGAGTGTTAAATGTCAATGGCTGTGATATAATCTTATACATATATTTGACTAAATCACCATTATATATTAACTTTACTTTGATTGGAGAATACAGAACTCGAATTAATTGCATCTATTTCTCAGAGGAAAAAACTATCGCAAATATCTTTTTAAATATCCTATAAGTATTTGAAATTTTAAGTGTGTTCTTCAGAAAAACAAGCAAAATACATTTGTAAAATACATTTTATTAAGATAGATTTATATCTAATAGGCAAACATTTTATAGGAATTATATAGAAAAATAACTTTTGGAAGAATATTTTATTTATTATATGCAATTTATTAATTGATTGATTAATATAAATAATAATTATATATTTGATTGCAGCAAACATTATTTTGGCTCTATATGTATAAGTTTTAATGTGAATTTATAGAAATCATTTTCAGTAAAGAACAAAGTTATTTTTGAGACAGTACATTGTACAATATAATTAACATTAAGAAGTACGAGGATGAATATAAATCACTATCGTGCTCCTTTATCGAGGCAAAACGTCCACTAATGTCCGTAAATATATGTTCTGTGTCATCGCAAGCACATATATGTCTCAATCGCATAGCTCGACTATCGCGAGTGTGATCTCGTCAAGAACTGTGATACAACGTAGTCTGCAGGAATGAAGTACAACGAACGATAACGAAAATTAATGATCAATACAATAAACCAGCTGCTCTCCGAGAAATAAAAATCATCTGGCGCTTTGTAAAATTGCTTTCGTGTCATTCGTAGTGCACTAAAAACCTTAATCGAAAACAGTATCATACGACAATCATATTGCAATCGATATATAATTAATCGTGACGAAATTATACACTATTAAGAATATAATTGTTATAATTATAAACGAGAAAGATTGTTTAAAAATAGAAAATTAAAAATTTGGCTACTTCATAATCTGCAAGTGTATTATGTCAAGAATCTTTTTGCCCGTATACATATAGTAACATTGCAATGTCTCTTTGTATAAAAAGATCCATCTTTATATGTAGAAAATCGGAGCTATTTGACATATTTAATTTGCATGGATAGAACACATATGACTAACAAGAATAAAAAAACAATCTTTTTATTGGGGTGATTACGATAACTTTGGCCCCCTATTTGAAAGGTCGTTTCAGAAGACATTTTTGACGAGGAACACAATCGTAATCGTGCCTTTTTATTTTCTAAACAATTTAAATCGATGCTTTATAATCATGTAAGTTTCTATGTTTAATTAATTATCGTACATTTTGAAATGTAGTATTTTTGCAGTATAAAAAATTAATCCGATTTTCCGCAATTTTCTCTTGCAGCCTCACTGACAATGAGATGATGTATATGAGCGATTTTACTAAAGATTGTTAGCCTACGCATTAATCTTATACGTCATGATATCCTCTGGATAGTATGGATCATGTTTCTACTTAAGATACGTGGGCGACGCGAAACGAATCATAAGAGAATCAGACTGATAAGAATAGACATGCGTTACTTATGTATTACAGATTGTAACTACATGTTTGATGTTCGAGCGCTCTTGGATATTAGATATTAATAAAACGAAAGTCAACAAACACCTGTTTTTGCTCAAGGAAATTTGAAGAAGCAACAAATTAGATGGCTATTGACAGATTGGTTGGAAATAAAATATCCTCTTTTTTCATGTCATTTATATTTGAAGAAAACTATACAGAATATATAATGGATATTATCGAATAAAAATATGTTATTACAAGCTTTTTTCGCGTAAAACAATATTTCCTCCAACACTATCTTTAATAGTCAATTTATTCTTTTTAACATATTTTCAATTTATTCTATATCAAATGAAATAATAATTTACTTTTCAATATGTTTATCGACACACAAATGATCAAGTGATTAATTAATTCATATAATTATATCCCCGAATTAAAGTAAATTGCTCTCGAATTATATAATGTCTAACACAGAACGAATTTTTGCATATTTGTGCTGCTTAAAGTTAGATGAATGCGTGAGAAGTGGGCAGAGGGGAAAAAAGGAAATAGTCTTCCGTGAAGATGAATCGATCGGATTATGTTTAACGATTTATGTATAATTAAAAATGAATTTTTATTCTCATAGCAATACGTTACAGATATGTAAATTTTTTCACTACATTTATATAAAATAATTTATAAAAAAAACAATCGCGATATATATATACCATTATATTTTATTCGTATTAATTTATGTCTTTTTTCAGTTTGGCAATGTTCATGTTCACATTACTTAGGTACATGATTGTACCAGCAACCTTGATTACTAACTTTAATTAGCAAAATGTCCTGTCTGCCTATCTCAAAATTATAATTATAATATAAATTGAGGAAAAAATTTAGTCATTTATCTTTAATGACTATGATAAAGCTATATTTATATGGAAATAATTTACTGTTTAAGATCTAGTCTCATAGAGTTATCTATACATATTAATAGTAAAATTGAGTAAAAACGACTAAAGTACAGATAACACAATTAGTTAAATAAAAATATATAATATAAATTCTGGCAGTGTATTAGAGAAGTATATTATATAAATTTCAGGCACTATACATGAAATCGCTAAATATTCTGTATAATGAATGACAATTTGTCACGAAGAACGAATGACATTAGATATTGTTACAATTTAATTTCGCTCTGGAAATGTCCCAATAAAAAATATAATTCTAATTAACAAAAACAATATATATATAAATTAAGATGCTGACTTTTATGAAATATTGCCTAGAAAATCGTGACTATTTTACAAAATTTTTATTTTTTGAGCACAAAAATATCTTACTTATTACGTTAATTAAGACTATTATCAAATATTACATAGCATTGCGAGGTGAGATAAAGCAAAGTACAAAATTCCAATTATCAAATTTCCAATGATGTACTTGTACAGTAAATATAGTTTTAATATTAAATTTTACCGATAATATTTTATGTTGACAATAATTATTAATAACGCTCGTTACTCATGCTGACACCTTTTCCTGTCCATCTTTCTTTTAGATCTACCTTCAGTTCTAGGTCTCTCAATGCGGCTTTGATGTTGTCCTCCAACTTGGGACCGTGCAAACGTAACGCATCCCGCAACACGTCTTCAACGCCATATGCTAAAAACTCCTTGGACTCGGATTTGTTTCGCACTGACATGTTCCTAATCGCCCAAGAGGCTTGTTTTAGGACGTTTACATTATTAGGATAAGCCTTCATAGCATCTACGATCACTTGGGCTGCGCCGCAATCGTAAAACACACCAGAATTTGAAGTGCTTCGTAAAGATAATGCGGATATGCAACTTAATCCGGCAGTCACGATATTCTCCGATCTCTGCCAAATATAATACGTTTTAATAAAAACTCGTCTTAAAAACTTATTTATTTGGTTGTGTATGTTTTAAAGAAATATTTTCTGAAACAAATTTATATTCTACAAAAAAGATTGTTTCGTTTCTTTATCACAGATAAATTTACCTTCATACGACTGATAGCGGATACGATTAAAGGCGCGCATCCGGAAGTCACAATGTGAGATTTTACATTGTCATTGCCAGCGAGCGCTTTGAGCAACTTTAAAGCCTGCCAATTTAATTTTTCGGAGTCTGGATACTCGGTCATTATATCCAGAATAAATTTCAAACCCCCAGCATCCTCTACTTCTTGGCAGAATTCATTTCGGACGATTAATGCGGCCAAGGTGATCATCAAATCACCTACGACCTTCATGTCCCTCTTAAATCCTGTCCGCGTGACAAACGCATATATTATCATAATGTAATGTTTTATTTTATTATAAAATAAATAATAATAATATAAATAATAATATATGAAACAATATATATAATCGCGTCAAAAATAATTCAGATTAATATTGTAAAGCTATCTAAAAATATAATCTACTTGTCAACAGCTCTGTCAGAACATCGAGAGCGCCTTTCGCCATGATAGTTGCATGCTCGTGAGCCTTTCCATACTCGTGCCTGATATCATCGTCCAAGACCAATGCTCTGATCACCGAACATGCGTCCTTGATCTCGTGCGCGCCTACATCCTCACGCACCAATATTTTCTTGAGTTTTTCGAAGATATTAGTGTCAAAGATCTTTTGTCTGTTCAGCTCGTGCTTTATGCAGCATTCTCGTATCCAATGCAGCAGACACTGCAATGTCGCTGTATCGTAATGCCTCTCTAAAATTCTGACAAAGAATAAGATTCCATGTAAAACGTCCAGAGACAAAAAAAAGGAGACAATATTTATAAAATATAACTACGTATCTTGGTAATTTTTTTTTCGATCATGAATCTTTTCTATGCTGGCCCATCTTACGTTAATTTTTTGTTAAGTTATTACAGATTTGAAAAATAGAAAAAATCAAAGTTTATAAAATAATTTTCAATATTTAATTTAAATGAGAATGTGTGAATATCCTTTTGAAAAAATATTAGATATATATTCTGATATTCTAATAGTCTTATAAATGATATCAACAAGTAACATCGATTTTCCTATCATCCGATTAAAAAACTTTTTTTTTCATTATTTTGTTCTTCTCGGTTTTAAGTTATCTTTTCCTCTTATAATATTTATATTATAATATCCTATTTTTTACAGGTTTGAAAGAAATTTATTAATATGTGTTCGCTTTTTCTTAGAACCAATCTTGTAAAGAATAATCCTTACTCTGCCTGCAATGCAATCCCGTCGTCATCCAACAAATCCGGATAACCCGACATTAATGAGGCAATCGTTTCCAGCGCGGATTTAAATATCACGTGATTCTTCTCGCAATCCTTCAGGAGATCGATCAAGATCTTGTAACATTTGCGTTTACCCGCAAACACTCTATATCGAATGTCCTTATCCAATTCAGTTCGCAATTCTTGCAACGTCTCGGGCACACGTTCGTAACTTTTGTCGTTCATAGCGCGCGTTAATTGCTCCAGACATATTACTATCTGTTTGTATTTGTCTTCAAGAACTAAATCTGTGATAATGTTGCTCAAATCTATCCCCTGCGCGAAATAAACGCTCCATGTTAATTATATCGCAGCAGCAATATATGATCAGGCCCTGTGATCAAAGTATACGAAATTTTCTCTAATAGACATAAATAAACTTTTAATTAATTTATTTCATAAATATTTTTATAAAAACTTATATTTATGCTACAGTCATTTTCTTTAATAATAATTTATTTGTGACAAAGCGAGTAATAGCGATAATATTTTTCGTAATTTAAAGTAAGTTTTTCTCTTCCCCTTTTTTATACAAATTTATCTTTTCTTTTTTACAGTTTCAAAGATGGATGCGTTCAGATAGATACAGTACAATAAAGAATAGGTCGATGTCTTAAGATAGCAATTGTGGCACGAGTGCTCCGAAACTAAGACCGTGAAGAAATGCGGAAGGACCGCGTAACAAATTTTATTTTTATACTACAGAACACTTTTGTAAGTACTCTTCTGTAAAAGCATTTAAATTTTGCTCTTTTAATAGCAATAATAATAAAAATCAGTAAAATATATTATCATAAAACTTCCAAAATTTTTACGAAAATATTATTGAAATTTAAACCGGAATTTTTTGTTTCCGATTAATAAAATAAAATTTTACATTTATTAACTTTTTTTTATCTCCTCTATCTTTATTAACTTTTATAGTTAACCGAAAAGTTTTTCGCTTTGATTTAATATTCTGTAATAATAGCAATAGGCACAGACTACCACTTAATTGTTAATATTCTGTATTTATTTCTAATGACATCAATGAAAATTCTCGATGATTTATTCGCTAGTGACTTATGTAAATGCATATATGAGAAGTAAAACACTTTTGATCAAATGCAAAGATACAAAGGAAATTTCCAAATATAAATTCTCGCTTAAGTTTTGGTGGTAAAATTTCAAATAACTTGGAACTTTGTTATTTTTCATTACAGTGATAAAAAGAAAGAAAAATCCTGGCACAGATCACGCCTATAAAAAGAACGAAACAAAAAAAGATACTTTCTTTTTATTCATATTCATTATAAAATTTATTCATCAAAACCAGTTTGAAAATTTCGAGATAAAAAAGATATTTTATAAAGTTTCTCAAAACTTGGAAAATTTCATTCTTTTTTCTTTATTTCCAGTGGACGTGAAAGTGAGAATTCTCAACGACCTGAGGCATGACTCACATAATCGCGCGCAAGGATCAGGATATTTTTCACTGATCATCGAGCGGTATAAACAAAGGATGCGGCATTACCTTCATCTCAAAGCACTTCATAGCGTCCTCGACCGCCTCCTCTTCGGTCATACCGAGACCCTCCATCAATTCCCTGATCTCCTCGTCGTAAGCTTCCTGGGTAATCTTGCTCATGATAAAGAGATTTCTCTCAGACGATGTTCCAATTTGCTATATAAGGAGATGAACGGCGTATGTGAGTCGCGCGAGCGAGACAAGCGTACACTGGCTTGTCCACGTGGTGACAAAAAGAGTAGACCTGTCAACGCGACTGCGCTCGCAAACTCATCTCAACTCTACCGCCGGAGTAATATAAATTGACGCCGTCAGAGGGAGCGCTACTCGTCGAGATTACAATCGAGACGGTGATCTCGATCAAGCAGTCGATTTATGTTCGACAACCGGTGGCGACCTCAGCTGCCTAAGCTGGCCTAACCGTGTTTATTCGTGTCTCACGACACAACCGACGATATTATTATTGTGCGCAAACCCTCGTCGTTGATAACCGACGCGACGGTTGATAACCCCGTGGTTAATAGCCAATTCGCCCGCGAATTTTCGGCATATACGGTCATCGCGAGTACGGAGTTAATTCGAGAAGAAGAGTACCACGTCGCCGAGCGTTGTCACCGTAGCTGCCGCTCACGCGCGGCGAACCAAAAGTATCCGCGTCGCGAGTTTCACGTCTCGTCGAGGATTCTCGCTGGCGAGGTGGCGAAGTGCATTCACCTCGCCCTTGCCGCTCTCTTCGCCTTCCGCTCGACAAGGGCAACGTTAAGTGAGGTAAGCGTTTTTGTCGGAACGCTATGATCTTTTTTTCTTTTTCTCTCTCTATCTCTTTTTCTCGTACACATATTTGGCACGTGAACTTTCGTTTACGGCTTCGTCGAGGCACGCGGTTCACGCATGCACGTCGTATATGTTTCTCAAGTTGATGACAGTTACCTGGCGAATCGGCAAATGGTAGTGATGTTGATTTAAGCTAAGGATATTGGTAGAATAACGTAGTATTATTGAATCTTGAATTTATAAACATTGAATATTAATTTTTTATATAAAATAACCTTCTCTTGTATTCCCTTTTTTTTTCTGTCTATAAAGAGAGGTGAAAGAGGTTAGTTTTTTCTGAGTAATAGAAATTATAAATATTATAAGACACAAAGATACTTTTTAGTGTATAAGATGTGATCTTAATTTTGCAATTACTTTCTTAGAAAGCATTTGCTTAATTAATGAAGCAATATCTCTAACTTAATTATTAGATGAAAAGTACTAGTAAGATATATCTTTAGAATCAAATAAACTAAAAAATAAAAGAATATTTAATTGTAATTAATTAGTTACAATAGAAAATGACAATTGTTTGATCCAATTGTAATATTATGATATTTATGTGTTGTGTAGACCACCATCGTAGGCTCATCACGATATCTTGGATATGAGACGTAGAAATAGTGAAAAGCAAGTAGAGATACACTTGCAGAGTGGATGTCCACGGAAGAAATGCAAAGGAGAATGATAAACATTATGATGCGTTGCATTGTCACGCATGAATAGTTATCATAGTTCATATCACATTGCTATTGAGAAGCAGCTCGAAGATATTTGGAGAACCAACATCTTTGGGACAACATCGCATTTTACATATTTTATGTATAGCAATAGAGATAATTTTTAAAAGGATAGCAGTGTATAAGGATATACAAAAATAATTTTTTTAACAAAGAGTAAATTTCATTATTTTTAATAATTACAAATCAACGTGTGAGAATTCTATGTGCCCAATAAGAAGATAAACTATATCGTCGATTACAGAAAGATCAGCTTTCCTAAATAATGCTCAAATAGCTGCGAGTAATCTGAGATCGCACATAAAATAAATGCCTTCCTTGATTGCTATGAAGCGATAAAAGAAAAAGTGCTTTGAATCTCTGAAGAGAATGCATAAAGGCCAAAAGAGATTATGTTTTGTGGTTGTAGTGTTGCACAAAGTCATTCGTGTTTGCTACATACAATGTATGACTAACAAGCAAATGAACTTGCATATGTTTTTCTATGAAGACGACGATCTGCTGATGTGATTATTCCTTCATAAACATCCACTGATACATCTTTGAAGATCGGAAACAGCACATTGGTGTCGTCTTATGCGACTCCAGAATCCAGCGGAAGACTTTGTGCCTGGTATGGAATTTCATTTTATAAATTACATCTAACGCGATTTTGTTTTTGAGCGCTTATTTATTTCTACAATTTATGTAACTTATATTTACATAATTTTATGTTTAGATACAAAAGATACGATTGACGAAGCCCTAATGCTGAAAGGAAGCTTGTCACCGTACCTTGACACTCACAATGAAGAAGAGTCGTCTTATGTAACACTCAGCAATGGGCCATATGGTAAGCATTAACACCATTGAACATGTATATCGTCGTAATAATTGCGATTAATTGAGAATTGAATCTGTGCTTAATTTGAATCTATTCATTAACTTCTCAATTCCTTGTTTCAGCATATGCAGCCGATTCCACAAGCGCAGAACACAACTCCTACAATCACATCCTCGTAGATGTGTATTTTGTAACACCTATCCTCTGCAAGCACTGTGAGTAACACACTAATTTAAATGGATTAACTTTCAATTTGTATGATTCATTGCATGAATTAATTTAGTGTATTAAAAGATATTACATTATTAAAATAATTTTCCTCTATCATATTCTCTCGCTCTTGCATTTTGTTAAGATTTATGTCAGAAAAATGTATAATTTAATTATTTATTTTAACCTTATTTTAAATAATTCTGTTTTGATTGAAAAAATTTTATATTTTGATAGAGAAACACACATACACATATTTATTTATAATCTTTTTATTACAGGTGAAGATTATATCTGGGGAACTGGCAAAGTGGGAACCAAATGCAAAGGTAAGACGTTCTATTACAATCATTAGATGTAATTAAATATAATAATTGAAATTTTGTGTGTTTTTTATTTGTGTCAGACATATTTTTGTATATGATGTAAAGTGCATCTTTTTGACCCGCTCAGCGGTATTATCAGCATAATAAGTTCAAAGATTCTTTCCGAAAATAGCCTCCTCAGAAAATATAAGATATGTGTGCTCTCGATTTTTTTTCTTTTTTAATTAAAAAGGAATCTTAATTTTACTATCTTACGTTCACGTATAGATTTGTATAGGCAATTAAATGTTGCATTGTAAACAAATGCATATGACGTTCAATCTATATTGTTTAATTTTAGAAAAACTAAATGTGAAATATTTTCATATCAATCTTCGGGAAATACAATTTATTATGGAGAAATGCGAACGTTGTTGTGCTCAATAATAGAGAAAATGTTTCCCGTTATATATGTTGTGCACGATTTAAATACATTGACGCGCATGACGTCAAATGACAATAGTCACCACGTGCGATGAAGTTATTCCGAGCATCCGCTAGATCGCAGCAATACCCTCGTCGCGGAATCCGCACGTGTAGATCAAGTGTGGATTTCGCGTGGATCCACCATCGAGGGCGGCACCGTAGCATAGTAACACGCCGGCGAGTCGCGCCGATCTTCAAGAGCGGTATCGCGTCCCCCAGGTCCCCCTTCACCTTCGCTATCGCGTGTTCTCGCCGCGCCGGTTTCTTTCCCGAAACTCCGCGGCCCTCTCCGGTCCCTCCGATCCTCCTCCTCTCGACATCGTACGAGCTCAGGGCCGTGCCTAATTAAAGTGCAAGTTTCCGATTCAATCGCAGGTATCATTTTGTCTTTTTTCAATACGGCTCTATTCTTTTCTCTCATGTACATCTCTCATATATTACCATTGTCATATCGCTATTAATTATATTTCAATCATAATCGAAACGTATAATAAAATGATGATATGGTTTAACATGGCATAACTGTAATATATAAAGTTGATTATATATCATGATATATAAAAAGAAAGAGATAATTAACAAAAAAACAAAAAAAAAATACATGAGAAATATATATTAATAAGTACTGTAGAGCTATATATTTTTTGAACATTTTCAATTACAATCATTTTCCAATTCTATTTTAGCAGTAATATGCCTTAAAAAGATGCTTTAATTACAATCTATGTATAATTTTATATTTATTTGATTATTTTGTTTTAATTGTAACTAATAAACAAGATATTTTCGAAAAAAGAAAAAGAGAGAGAAGAGAAAAGAGAAAACTATTGTACAAATATTAAACAATTCTTTTTTGAAAAATCGGTAGAAAAACACAATTTTTTACAATCCATACTTTATAATATTTTATGTTGCAATATTTTTCATTGATATTATTGAATTATAGAAATTGTAATATGGAAATAAAAAAAATATTTTAGTTTATAAATGTAGATGCATTTGGTAAATGCATAAATGCGCATTTTATTTTCGTACTTCATACATAATTGACATACATAATTTAGCATATTTTATATTTGGCTTTGTTTATTATTGATTAGATGAATTAAATGAAGTAAATATTTTTTCACTTTTTTTATTTCCCTGAGTATTTTTTATAACTGAAAAAAATGAATTTTAGCTTAATTTAATATTGGAACATTCAGTATTAAATTGCGTTCAAGTATTTATTAAATTTTTTATTCGTATAAGAGAAAAATTAGAAAATGTGCGTAAATATATAAGCAAAGAAAAGAAAAGAACTCGTTAAAAACTTAATCAACCATGTTGATAATTTTTGTCTGCTTGCTTCGAATGCGTATATACATTTATATTTATTCACACTGTAACATATATTACAAAATTGCATATACTTTGCTAATCGTATGTCACGAATCTAAGGTATATGGCTAAGTTTTATTGATATTTGTCATGACAACGATGACAAAAGTACGCGCTATAAAATACGAAGCACAAATACTTTGCGATAAAATGCTAAACATTATTCATACGCAGCACGTGGAGTATATCTTCGCTTTAAGCTTCAGCAATAAAACAAGTGTTTTTGCTTTAATTTTTGTCGTTTTTACATGACAGACTTATTCGACATGCTGTCTTTCATGTAAGTAAAGGCTGTAATTAAATCAATAACAAGTTTAATTCGCCATGTGAATACTATACTTCACGCTCACTATCGATTATTCGATCGGATTATACTATTCAATATCGTTAGCAAATCTAATAATGATTCTCTGTCTATAATTCAAATCTAATTGGTTATACACTACCGCCATTATATTTTCCCTCTCTTTCTCTCTCTCTCTCTCGCTCTCTCTGTCATGTAATGTCATATAAGCTGCTGTAAAATAATTCCGCGACTTTTCTCTGTTACATTTCCATTACATATAATTTTAATGATAAATTTTGTGGCTAGTAGAATTTTTATCAAAGAAAATATGAAAGGAGATCGTACCGATGAATATTTTCCCTTACGTAACTAACAACAAGATTCAAATAAAGATATTATTGGAGAGATATAGCCGATTTGAACTAAGAATTTAAAAAAACGCATTAATGCAAATTTGTAATATATATTATTCTTCTTAGATCTTTTTTTTTTTTTTTTTAATCTAGTATATTCTAACAATATCTAATAAATAGTTTGACTCTCAGTTACAAATTCTGCGCATGAAACGCAGAAGTCTTATCGTATTAACTTCTCTTCGATATTTATGTAATGACAAGTCTACCTACAGTTAAAAATACTATGAAAACCAGCGCGATCCGGTTTTGGGAGCGCGAAGGGTTAATTGCGCTTTCAGCTTTGCCGTTCTGGTTGCAAAAAAAAAATCATCGCACACGCTCGACGTAACTTCGCTCGCGCGTGTACGACACGCACAACGGCAGTTTTATACGGTCGAGGTGTTTCACTCTCTCTCTGGGAGTAGTGACGCTCGAGTGTGGCCGTTTTGCTCACGAAGGAATAACGCTGGCACGTGGTAATCCTTGAAAATCGGCGCTTTCGATTATGAAGTCGCGAACGAACGGGCGAGCGAGCAGACGCATTTATACACCCACGCGGCGCTGCTTTTGCATCGAACGATGAATTGCCGAGCTGTTTGTCGAATGCTGCCAAATCCATATATTTTTTTTTTTTTTTCCCGAAATAATAGTCACGATAGGTTTGACCTGAATTCGCTATACTTCGATTACAGTTTTACTTTGACTTGCAGAAAGATGCTATTTTGAATATTATTGATGAGATTCTTCTTTGTAGTTTCACAGAAAGCACTTTTTCTTACGCTCTAATATTTGCAAGAAACATTGTTTAAAATTGTCTTTCTTATAAGATAATAATTTTATCATATATATAATAACATGTATTCAATGTATATTATTTATATATTGACAACCGTATATATATGTGAAATATCTTCATTATTATTAGAATCTCTTGAAAGTGTCGATATGTGTATAAATTACGCTAAAAAATAATCATTTTTCTATTTTGGCAAAGTGCTCTCTTTAATTATTCCATAATATATAATATGTCTAATTGATCGCACAATAGTTGTAATAATACACAAGATGAAATATTAATTGATTAAATAATTAAATAATACAACCAATTGCATAGCATTTGCATGACATTCTAAGTCCGCGAAACGTCCAAGAGAATTTAATTGATCATGTTCACTTTCGTGCGCGCACATTCCGATAAATTGTTCCGGCACTTTAACATAAAGCGCGCGAGTATTCGTGAGACACGCTTTATGCCAAATTGCGATCAGTTGCTTCGGTATAAATCACTGACCGATATCAACGGAATATCTTCGCGAAATAAATACGCGCGAAAAGAATGAGAGAGTGAGAGGGACAGAAGAATTTACTGTGCATTCTCAGGTAAATCCTATAAGTGCACTAAAACACGGGACGAGTCAAGAAGTGTAAAAATTATGGCTAGAGATAAAACTACATATGTGCATTATAATTTATATTGCTATACATGAGTTATATTTGTTGGAAAGATTAATTTTCTCATATATAAACATAATTTTTCATAATATACATTTTTGACGCAATCACAAAATATATAGATATTCTTTATAAGATCTTTTACAAAAAGAATTTTGTATTTTTTATAGTTCTTTAATTTCGATGACAAGTAAAAGAGTAACTATATTAATATAATTAATCAATATTAATTTTTTTGAACTAATGCAAATTTGTGGATTTAACTAAAAAAATAAACTTCCGTCATTTACATTTATTTAAATAAAAATTAAAATAAATTAATATACATTATATTTTATTCTTAGAAACACGCTTTATAACAAAGAAAAATTATTGCCGCGGTTTAGTAATTATTTTTTTGAGATTTCTAAAATGAATAATTTGATTAATATTTGATTAAATATGCAATAAAGATAGCAATAAAAGATGTTTCTTGTCCATGAAGCTTGTTATCGTACAGGTTCGCGGTTTGTGCAGCCAAGGGCACATCGCGATGCATCGACAACTTCGTCAGTAAGGCAATAAGGCTAAAAAAAAAAAGGCATCGTGGATCCGCGATGCGCTTCGCTTCCTCGGCGCACGAAGCCGTTTCGAAGGACAATCGAACGGGGTCAAAAGTCCTCGCGTTGCTACGCGAAACGTTACGAAGCCATGGAAACGAGCTGGTCGCGCAAGCGCCTTGCATTTTCCTCTCCGAATTCTTCTATTACCCCTCTTTTTTTTTATTTTCCTCGATTTTTATTTTTATCGGCCAAGCAAGTTGCGAGTTTTCCCGCTTCTCGACTTTCAACATCGAAATCTAACTACTTCTCCAGTCGATGCATAACGCGCTTATTCGACATCCTGCACATATAACGAATGTAAATTTTCATACCACATTATGATAATCTTGGTGAATCGTTGCACTTTGTTTGTCACGTTTTCCGTTCCTAAAATTTTTATTTTTATTTTTATTATAAGCGTATTTGAATCAGTAACTAAAATTTACAAAAATATAAAAAAGTAACATATATTAAAAGTATATCAAATTGAATTCTTTTTTTAGAAGTCTTTACAAAAATTTTTAAAAGACGGATTGAAAATTCTCTCTTGACGAATAGAAATTGATAATCTATAAAATAAAAAAAATCTATTTGTTTACTGTTATTTTTAATACATTTTTTACATGAATCTTATAAATTTATTTCAGTTGTGTATTTAGCGCTAAATGTGACTGTTTAATTCACATTCTTCATATTTAATACTTGAAATTCACAATTGCATGGCCATTTTGAGCACCGAATGCGCTAAATGGAAATAAGAGTCAATAGCGGAAAATCGTGTCGGCGGATGATGCATCGTTACATTGAGTCTCTCAAGGGTGCATGTGCAGCAGCGCAGGTGAAAATGGCGATGTCGCAACAGTTACGGCTGTTGACCGCTATGAAAGAACGAAAGTCGTGTTCTTCTTAACTTGTTGCAAGACTTTTTCATTGTTCGTTCAATAATAATTTTTTAGTCAATTTGAGTTAGTTATTGATTACTCTTGATTATAATTAATTTACCAATCGCGATCTTTCTCTTTTCTAATTTTTTAAACAATTAAAATTCTTATTTTTCTTTTGTCTATATAATTCTTATATTAAAAATAGTCAATTATAAATTTTGTTAAATCTTTGAAGATTGAAACAACAAACTTTCTGACTTTTCTTTTAAAACATAAAAAAGATTTTTTTACCGGTTATTGTTGTTTAAATCAATCAATAAATATTTGGATTTGTGGAACTTAGAGAGATAAAATTAAAAAGTGGAGAATTTCGCGAAATATTTACTATTGAAGTTTTGATAATAATATAATTATGGAAATGTTTCTTTTTTAAATAACAAATTTTGGAATTTTTCTGATTTTTTAAATGAGTTAGCAAAAAGAAATATTAGAATATCACGACGTTATAATTTGCTGTATAATTTTGGTACAAAATTGAAATCACATCGTGCGTA